GGGGCATCACCGTTTCCCAGTGAAATGCTTTCTGGAAACCTGGGAACCGAGAGATGAGGAAACATCCCAAACCTACCAGGAATCGCTTGCAAATGCCAAGGGCCCCCATCAAACGTGAAGTGTGACTCAGGGAGGTGGTGCTCCTGCAACATGCTCAGCACCGGCAGCCAGAAAAGGAGTAGGGTGCTCCAGCCATCCCCGAGGACACCTGCTGTGAGGAGTGGTGAGAAATCACCAAAACGAGGTCTTATATCCACATGAATCTAAGTGAATGCTTTGGTCTTAGATAGCCAAGCCTCTGGGCTGCGAGATGGCCAAGCCGCATCTGGCCAGAGGAAGGAGGTCGTGGCCTCTGGATTTTAGGGCTGCCCGGCTCTCAGGCCAGCCAGGCGGCCAGCACGACCTGGGCAGCCTCGTGGCCTCTCCCAAACCCTTCCCACCCCTCCGTGTCCCCAACCACATGAGTATCGTGATGGGATGCAGGCTTGCTGGCTGTGCCCCAATGCCTTTCACGGGAAGGGGAGCCTGTGGCCCAGTGACATGGTTTTTCTTGCAGGGAGAGCCCACGGTTGGACCCCTGTGGCACATCTGGAGTCCCAGAGCAGCAAAGTCACAGCAGCAGTTCAGGTAGGAAGGGGCTTTTGTGTGTTTAATGTGATTTCACAGGACCAGAGCCAGGAGCTGCAGTCCCTCTCCTCCTTGCCTTTTGCCAGATACACACTTCTCCTCCTCATCCACCATGTGGAAAGTATTAAAGACAGGGGGTCTGCAAACTCATTGCTGGCAGAGCAGTGAAAAGGAGCCAGAGGTGGCTGTGGCTCCGTTTTTCCATCACTCAAAGCAATGATCTTCTCTGTTGTTGTGCACCTGGAGTAGGGAAATTTTGTTGTTCTTGTTAAAATTCCATGCAAGCACTCTGCTTTGCTTATAAACTGAAATACAGGTTGGGATCCACCTGCTTCATATAATTCAGTGCTTGCAGTTTAGTGTGATTATAGCTGATTTGTCTGATCTAGTGTATGAAAACTGTTTGTCATCTGCTATTTTACCCAGTGTGGAAGGTTTGGGGACAATAGAGCAATATAGATCTCTGTGTTGTATTAGCTCATAACACACTGATAATCACGTGCTCTATTTTATTTCCTTTCTACAAAGCCTGCTTCACTTCCCCAGCGGTCTCCCTGCACCAGGAAAAATACAGAAAAAATGTAGTTTTCATCAAAACCTCTGATGTTTCTAAAACAATGTTATCCCATGACTTCTTCTCGCCAGGCAGGCAATAAGAACTATGTTGAACCATCTTGCAGCTAAAATCGGTGAGGCTGGGGCAAAGGAATCCTGACATCTTCAAGAGCTGTCTTGTGGGGGTTCCTCCATTTGGTGCTATTAGGGGGGCTCAGGAAAAGAAAGCACGTGGCCTCCAGACTCACTGCCCAGCTCTCTGCCTGCACGTCTAGGTCCCCTTCTCTCCAGTGGAAACCAGTGAGTCACGAAGCAGTGACCAGCACATGCGTGAGTGCTGTCCCTGGGGAGATGTGCACACCGTGCCAGGAGCTGAAGAGCTTTCCTAGGTGCCACGCTTTAGTGCTACCCAAAAATAAAGCAGGTTTTCCCCACAGAGGATACAGCTGAGTGGTTTGAGCACTCTCACGTGCAATTCACTTTGCCAGTAGGTCTTTTTCCCCTAAAAACTCCATTTGATAGCTGAGAAGTGTTTTCAGTGAAACTTGTCCAATGGTGTCCATCACTGACATCTTGGCTGAGACCACTACCAGCTCCCAGGAGCACATCTCCCCTCATCCTCACTGGGCTTTGAGGGAAGCACGTGAGTTCCTGATGGCAAAACTCCCATCAGCTTCAACAGGACAGTAATCAGGCCTTTTGCATCTTCTGCTGCGGTGGTTTTCAGCCAGCACCATGAGGCTGCAGTGATTAGCCCGTTCCTAAAACCGGTGAAGAGAAACCATGTGCGGCTGCCGACAACACTGCAGCCTCTTCATCTCACCTAGTTGGATGGGGTGGGGGGAAAAGAGGGAAAGGTTGTGCAAGTCGGAATTTGGCCACCGATCTCCTCAGACACAACATCTGCTTCTGTGCAAGCAAGAAGAAAATGGGTGACTAACACACAGCTCTGCTGTTCAGCAGCTGGCCCCCGGATCCTCCTCCGTGGCGCTAAATGTGTCCCTGGCAAACAGAAGGTTGAGATTTTAAATGAGGAATTAATGAAAATGAGCTCTTTTCCAGCTTGTTGTCCCTTTAAATTCAGTTTCCATGGAAACGGGTCTGGAGAGGCTGCCTGGAGGGAGCCAGGAGAGATCTCTGCCTGGCCGCCTTCCCCTCCTGGTTGCCAGCTGAGCCACCCCAATTGCCAGGCTTTTACAGAGGTTTTTGCTATTGTCATTTACACCTGGAATAGGAGCGATGGCTCCTCGTGGGTTCCTTCTCTCAGGTGTCCCAAGGTGTCACCTGCAGCTGGGCTGCTTGCAAGTAGAGCTCCTCTCCTTCCATCGCCTGTCCGGTAGAGTGCCGGCTCCTCCAAACCCGCCGCGATGCTGCCTCCCTGAAAACGTCACTCCTGTTAGAAACATCCATTCCACCGCTTTTTCCTTTTTTAAAAGTTGTGGCAGGTGTGATCTGAGCATGCAGACTGAGCTGGGGGTGGTGGCAGAGGGACAACTTTGTCATTAATTCAATGATTATCCCAGGGGAAAATTTGAGATCCCACCTGGAGTACTGTGTCCAGCTCTGGGGTCCTCAGCACGGGACAGACATGGACCTGTTGGAGCGGGCCCAGAGGAGGGACATGAAAATGGTCAGACGGCTGGAGCACCTCTGCAATGGAGAAAGGCTGAGACAGTTGGGGTTGTTCAGCCTGGAGAAGAGAAGGCTCCAGGGAGACCTTATAGCAGCCCTCCAGTACCTAAAGGGGGACTACAAGATAGCTGGAGAGTGACTTTTTACAAGGGCATGTAGTGATAGGACAAGGGGCAATGGTTTTAAACTGAAAGAGGGCAGGTTTAGATTGGACATAAGGAAGAATTTCTTCTCTGTGAGGGTGATGAGGCACTGGCACAGGTTGCCCAGAGAGGTTGTGGCTGCCCCATCCCTGGCAGTGTTCAAGGCCAGGTTGGATGGGGCTTGGAGCAACCTGGTCTGGTGGAAGGTGTCCCTGCCCATGGCAGGGGGGTTGGAACTGGATGATCTTTAAGGGCCCTTCCAACCCAAACCATTCTGTGACCCTGTGATTCTAGGAAGATCATATCACTGAGCCCCTCATTTCTGCCAGACCCATCACCAAGTTGTTTTATAGCAGGGTGAGGAACAGCACGTATCCTGAAAAATTGGCTGCGTTTGAGGGGGCATTGATTCTTGGAGTTATGCTGGAGGACCATGCTGGGTAGAGAGAGGGAAGTGGGATATGGCTGCATCCGTACCTTCTTGGATATCCAGCCGTGCCTCTGGGTTTTACTTAGAGGGAATTCACTGGCTTGTTCTCAGAGGGACCCCAGGAACAAACTCTCCTATGTACAGCACAGAGAATCAGTGGAGTAGGACCCAAAAGCAAACTAAAGAAATGGTGTTTGTCTGTGTAGATCCACTCTTTTTACAGGTGAACAAAACCTAAGGGTCTTAGACCTATAATATTTGGGGGTAGCACAGTCCCAGGAATGGTGGCTGGTTTTACCGCTGTTGAGATGCATCTGCTTCCATTTTTGTTAACATTTGAGGAGATGCCTCCACTGTGTCTGTGAAAGGTTGTCTCAATGAAATCTGAATTTTTAGTGGAAGCTGATTAACAGTGTAAGCTTCACCCACCCTCCCAGCTGAGTTCTGCAGGCAAGTACGACTCCAATGTAAAAACAGAAGTAATTTTTAAATGTAATTAATCCTAATCAGAATAGTTCAGTGTTAGCTGTTGTTGCTTCAGATATGCATAAAAGCATTGCCCTCCTTGGTTACCTAGATGCTTGCCTATAATTAGAACGACAGGCTATCATATCTGAGATGTAATACTGAGATCATTTTCTGCAAACCAGATAAGCAATGTCTTGCATGTTGTACCAGAAATATTCTCTGCTTGCTGCTGGTGCAGTCTCAGAAGGAGTATGACCTTCACTGCTGTGCAGCCAGACTTCAAGGAGGATGTAAACCTGTACTGGGGAGAATTCAGAGAGCAACGGAGGTCTAGAAAATACGACCTCTGAGACAGATTCGAATAAACTGAGGTTGTTTAGTGTAAGTGGAGACAAACCACAGGGATACACCTCAGTGAAGGGATAAAGTAAAACTGCAGAAAAGGCAGTAATAAGATGCTTTCCGTGTTCACAATGGACAGAAGAGAAATAATGAGCTTAAACTGCAAGAAGGGAAACAGACTAGATGTTAGGAAAACTTCCCTAGCGATAAGGACAGAGGCATAAAACAGGGACTTGGAGAGGTTATCTAAGCCCAATACCCCGTCTCAAAGCAGAGCTGGCAGACGCTTGCTCTCTCCTGACTTAAGACATTTTCGGCACCTGAGACGCCATCCCATCGTCGGACAGCTTGTTCCAACGCTTCACCGTGAGGTCACTTTGCGGAAAGCTAAGCCTAATTCTTCACTTTTTATCACGGTCAGCGATTCACCTGCTCTTTTTCCCCTCACTTTTTGTGACGTTTGGGCGCACCGTGATGCTTTCACCCTTTTCCCTGGAGCTGCTCCCCAGACGCCATTTCCCGCCCACACCAATGAGCACTGTCATGGCGGCGCCTCCTCTCCCCAGGCGGCTCCTCCAGGTTCTCTAGATCATTTTGCCCGCTGCTGCCGTCCTCCGGCACGCCGGCCCAACCCTTCCCCTACAGGGAGAGAATAACTTTTTTGTGTCCGCCATGTCGAGGCTCTCCCCTGCCCGCTGCCGCGCCGGGGCGGGGACTCGAACCCGCGTCCTCCCCGCAGCGCCGGCCCGCCATCCGGCCGCTCTCCGCAACGGAGGAGGTTTGTCCACCGCGGGCCACCGTCTCCCGGCGGCGCGGTGCGCTGCCGTACGGGTCCGGGCGGGTACAGCGGCCGGGGGAGCAGGAAGAGCGGCCCGGTGTGCCCCAACCCGCTCGGCCCGTCCTCCGCCTCGGCCCCGCCATGAGCGAGAAGGGCGAGCTGGACCTCACCGGGGCCAAACAGAACACGGGCATGTGGCTGGTGAAGGTGAGAAAGCCGCCGGTGCTGGTCCCCGGGACCGGCCTGTGGCGGCCGGGCCTTCCCTGCCGTCCCCGCTCCGCCGTGCCCGGGGTGGCGGTGGCGGGTCCCGGGGTAGAGGCCGGGCGGTAGCGCGGAGCGGGGCCGTGTCTGAGGGCGCTGGGGAAGGGGAGCAGGCCCGCGGCGGGGCTTGGCCGGTGCCCCCGGGCAGCCGGTGCCCCCGTTTCCCTTCTCGTGGGCGCGGGGTGGGTGGGCGAGCAACGACGTGTGGCGTTTGCCCGGCTAGCTGCTGGGGTAAATGATACACGGGAGGGAAAATTGGGCTACCTGGGAGCTGCCCTCGGCTTGTGCTCTGTTAGGGGTGACGAGCGCGGTAGCGTGGCTTTTATTTTCCGTAAACTCTGAGAGTCGGAGAAAGTTTGAGTGCTCCCAAATTCACGTCCTGGTTAAAACAAACAAACAAACCCCCCCCCCCCAAAAACCCCAAACAAAACCAAGGAAAATAAACGCCCATCTCTTGTCACAACAGCTCAGCTTGGTGCTAGAGAAGTACAGCTGTGGTGAAGGTGCTATGAAAAGATGTAAAGATCGTCAAGTCAAACCCAGGCACCTGCCTGGTGCAGGGCCACGCTCACGTCTGCTGCTGCGAACTCAGTTGCCGCTGCCTGCATCTCAAATCTGTTCTGTGGAGGGTCTTTTATCAAGATAGCTTGGCCGCTTCTGCTGGCAATGGCAAGCATGGGCTCAGGAAAGAGGAGACTCACAGCCAGTGGGGGAATATGTGACCTGCCCCCCTTCTAGTCCCCTGTGGATGTGTCCCTGTTTTTCTAGACCTGTATTTGTTCTGTCTGGGGAGAAACAGCAGCCTCCTCCTCTTCCTCCTTTGGGGACAGAGGGAACAGGCTCAGAACATGAACTTGAAGGAACCTGTGGGGATGGGCTAGTACCCAAATACTGGTTCTGGGTGGTAAGGGGATGTGATACCATCATACTTCAACTAGCAAAACATCTTATTGTGGCCCCTGTGATCTTACTGTGGCCCTTGAAAATGGTGGGGAATTTCAGACTTGCTTTGCTGCGCAGAATTTCTGGTGGCGGGTAGGTCACTGCATCTGGCTTCCTCTTTCGTACTGACACCCAAATGTCTGGTTTCATGAAACCGTAACGAATGCTGCGTAGTGCTCTAATTGTAATAGCTTATCCAGGACAGTAAAAGCGAAAGCTGACAACAGAAAGCTGCAGGAGTATATCATGATATGCTGAGTGACAGGGTGATAAAGTGGCAGATGAAATTCAGCGTTGAAAAATCTAATCTAACATGCATAGAGAAAAACTATCCTAATTACACAGTGATTGGGTCTTTGCTGGTTGTCGTCATTCAGGAGGAGGTTCAGGTTTTCAGTAGATGTAGATAACTCTATAAGAATGTCATGTCAAATGAGCAGATTCAACATTGGGCATAATTACGAAAGATACAGAGAACAAAAGAGAAAATATTGTTGTGCCATCATATTGCCTGTATCCTGAATACTGTGTGTAGTTCTGGTCTCATCCTCCCTATTGTGGCAGGTATACAGTGGACCCAGAAACAGGACAGAGGAGAGCACCAGGGATGATCTGGGGAACAAGGAATGGTGGCTGTGGAGGGAACTCCTAAATACGTTGTTACCTTTCAGGCTGGCAAGATGTTTGATTAGGAAATCATCTAGAGGTCTGAAGTAATGAGTAATGTCACAGGTGGATAAGGAAGAAGTGAATAGGCAAAGGTGAATAGGGAAGAGCCAGTTTGACACAAGAATTAAGGGTGTGTCATATTAATGCATCTGATGGGGCTCAGAGCAAACAAAGCAGGTACTGTTTTGCACAGTACGTAGTTAAATTTTGGAACTTGTCAATGTCAAAACTTTGCAGAAGCTCAAAAAGCCATTAGACAAATTCAAGCAAGAAAATTGGATTGAGAGATTAAAAATTAACGTGCTTCCATACCCCAAGACTGCTGACCAAAAGATCCTAGAAATTAGAAGAGCATGCTGAGGAAATACCTTTTCTTCTTATGTTCTCCTGTTCTTTCTGAAGTATCCGCTGTTGGCTGCATTTGGAGATAGGACACTGAACTTGCTCTGATACAATTTGATGTTTCTTGAAGCAAGTCAGGAATTTTCAGGCACATCTATGCTTACAGTTGATGCCACTCTGTGAGCACAGAGTGCTGCCTGGTTTAATGAGAAAATCGGACTAAAAGGAATGCTTAAATATTAATCTTCCAACTAAATGTTAATGTAATCCTTCATGCATGTGGTCTGAACTTATAATTTGTCTGTCTTCTTGTATAATGATAATTAAAATAAATAGTACAAAGTTGCTAACATTGATAGACCATAGCGAGGGATGTGCAGAATTTTATCCTTTGAATTCCTTTGGACTTGAACTTGGAAACAACTGTCCTTGTTACTGAGACCTTCAACACGCTCAGAGGCATGACAGTGTGTAGCACCTTTACTTTTTATCTTCACTAGCTAGGATAACGAGGCTGAATTTATCCTTCCTTTGAGGGAGAGAGCCATCAGTTCTGCTGGAATAAAAAACCTGTCTTATTTAATTTCCCTTTAGCATGTATTATGCTAGCACAGGAAGTATTCTAGAGAGACTACTTAACAGGCAATAAAAAAGGTAGTGATGAGTATTTTAGGAGCATGAGCAGTAAGAGGAGGTACCAGAGATCGAGTGAGTCGCTTTAGTACAAACCCAACCCAGAAAGCAACTGGAATAATTTTTCCTGTGTTTTCAGTGAAAGCTAAGATAGGGAAATATTATAAGAAGTATTTGTTATGTACTTGTGGTAAAGTGAAGCCCATTTAGTGTTAGCAGTTATATTTGTGAATTTCTTGTTCCCTGGGTGGTTGTTTGGTTTTATTTAATCTGCTGCGTTGATCTATATTTAGAAAGAGGATATCTTTATATAATGTCTTTTTTGTATGTTCAAAGGAAAACGAAAACATAGAACCTGACATCAGCCTTATTCAGTTTCTGATGTATGTACTGCATATGGATTGCTATATAGAGAAAGAGCTAATTTAATTTCATACAGAAAATTGGAAGTAGTTTATTGCAGATAGGGGCTGCTTGTGTGTTTTGTTCTAAAGGCAGATAGGAAGCTGTGAATAAGCTGAAAGATGCGTGGAGCAGGGGCCCTCGTGTCGTACGCTACCTGCAGGTTCCTCGTGTACTGGAGCCCGGGTGTTTGTGTGATGTGAGTAGCAGGAAGAAAACAGCAGTGTGAAGAGGTCTTGAAGTGATGCTACTTAGTGTGTCAGATTTCTTCTCATGATTAAATTGTATGGGTTTTTGGAGTGAAGAGTGTTCTTACCTACAAATCCCAGAATAAAGGCCACTTGTCTTAAAAATGTTCAGTAACCTTTCGGTATGGCAGGTACTCTGTCCACAAGTTAGTCTTTCTGTGGGTATGTATTTTTCAAAATCCTGCTTGTGGGATCTTTGAAAATTCTTTCTGCTCTGTAAAAGTAGGTTGCTTTCGTTTTCTGTATGTTCTTTCAAGGAGTATAAGAGTTTGAAAACTGACTGTTCTCCGTAAGTTAAACTTTTATTATGCTCAAGTTAAAGGAAGTGGCAAATTAAGATGTCTACAGTGTGTAAGACTTTATTTAATCTTTCCTGTGATTGTTTACGCCATTAGCATGGAGCTACAGAGTTTAGCACGTGGTTTTGAGAGTACCATCTGGTTTTAACTGAAGTATCTGTGTATAGCTAGAAGTAATCCTTTGATCACAGTCCTTCATAACCCTTTTTTTTTTTCCTCTGCATAGCCCTTGACTGTGGATAGGCCAACAGAAAGATGATTAATTGCACTCTGAGACTGTTTCCCATGCAGCTGAAAGAAGTATGATTGATCTGCAACCTCTTAATCTGAATAAATTCCCCGTCTGATGATATTATACAGCAAGTCAGTGATTTTAACAGCATGAGAGTCCTTCACTCCTTGTCCACTCATACTGAATGTATGTCTACCTTATTACCTGGCAATGTAAATTAGATACAGATTAGGTGCGAGCACATAATAATACTTCTGTTGAGTCAGCTGGGGCATGTGATAGCATTTATCTTGGCTTTAGAAAGAAAATGATATCTGATCTGGCATGAAATCCTCTGTAGAAAATTACCACATTGAAGACTGTGGAAAAAATATATATCAATAGATTGTGCCAATTCATGGCTTTCTGTTGTGCATTTGTGGCATTTTTGACCCCATGTTAGGACTTCATGAAAACCTGGACTGACGTTTAGTTTGGCTGAGCAGTTGGAGGACATCTGGTTTTCTAGCTATTCCACAGTACTTCATGGGGTGCTGTGAGACTAAAGGAAAGTGCTAAGCACCAGTACCAAGAGGTTTGCGGGTTTTTTGTAAGAAAAGGTAAATGCAAGGTTAGTGTTAAATTCATTTAAGCTTTAGGAAGTTAACAGGTTGCTGTTTGTCAGCAAGTTCCTGGAACAGGCTCTTCACCTCCTCAGCTGTGCAGTGAAACTTGGCTTAGTTTTATTCTATGCAAGACAAAATCAGACTACAAAGTGCCTCTTTGCTGCTTGAAACAGAAAATGCCACATGCATAACTTAGTACGTTTCTCTTTCTCACTGGCTGTGTCTCACACCATTTTACTATGTGGGCACAGATGTTTTCAGTAGCTGTGGACTGTGTGAGCCAGAATAAACTTTGCTGTACCAGTAAAGAACATTGCTGCAAAATTAAAGAATGTAGAATTGTCCTGATATGTCATGAGCACATGAAGAAAAAAGATATAAAATTCCTATATCAGAATACTTTTTTAGTACATGGTGTTGGAAAAGTAAATGATTTTTCCTTTAACAAGTCACTGTTTTGCTAGACACTGAGACTACTGTAGGTCTTTAAGATTATGTTCTCCCAGTGACTGCTACATCCTTATTAGAAAGAAAGGGGTTTCTAGAAAGTAGTAGCTTCTATTAGACTGGTTTCAGCTCTTTGCTTTTGAAAAAAATCTGTAATTTCCATATTACTTGAACATCTTACAGTTAGTTTTAAATAGTCAAATGTGAGATTGTCCTTATTGCCTCACCTCTGTATTCCACCTCTTGATGTGCCACAGTACTTCTACATCTAATAGCTTGTGTGTAGGGGGCCAAGTGCTCCAATCTCACGTTTGTTGTACTAATGTGTCATGTTCAGTCTTTATAAAAAGCCATCATAGAAAAGACAGTTGTAATTCCTGAATGGTGGGGAAGAAAGCTGCAAATCCATGTGATCTGCAAAACATTGCACTCTGCGCTTGTAACTGATTGAGTTGGCTTCTTGCAAGGAAAGGTCGACCTGACTAGAACTGATGCCATGCGGTGGAGCAGGGAAGGTAGAGAAGTTCCTCGTTGCCCTGGGGATAAACTGAGCAGCTTGAAGTGCCTCACCAAGGCTGGGTACGTGGACATACCGGCTGAGCTGGGAGCTCATCTCTGGGGCAGGGCAGTGGCAGCCACCAGCGCAGGCCACCTTTTGAAGTCCTGAGGAACTGTGCACTCAGACAACTGTTCAGATTTATAGGTGTTCATCAGCGATAGCACCATATATCAAAAGAAACACTTAACCTTTTGATTTCACAGAATAGATGTTTGTCATCTTTAAGCTTGCCTGGCCTTTAAGGAGAACCAGAGTAACTCTGCTGAGCACTGAACACATTCTCCTGGCATTACTATCTCCAGAAAAAGGAAGTGCTGTTGCTGCTGCGTACAGGCGTGCGTGCATCGTCACATCTGGGACATATCTGGGACTCTGAGGAGCCTGGCCCTGCGGCAGCAGCAAGGTGTTGAGGCTGGCTGTGGAAGTGCCAGCTATTGGGGTCGTTTACCTGGCAGTAGTTAGCTGGTACTTTTTTTGGCCAGAGAGTGGAGAGGCAGGCTGTGATTTCAGCTTATACTACATTGATGGGAAAAGAGGAAAAAGAGGTCCACTTGGAAAGGCAGCTTCCAGCTTGTTGGTTGGTTACGTAGGCGCCTTTACTGTCCATCATGAGCGCAGGTCACCCAATGCTGCAGATACCAAACCCTTTGAAAATGAAGGAATTTTTGTGTAGGTGAGCATCACTGGAGCAGCTTTTATTCCTTGGATGTATCTGGTTAAGCAGGGCTGCTTGCTCCTGTCCCTGCACTGACCTCTGCTTTGTGCAGCCGTTTGGGGAAATGGGTTGGGGAGCTGGTTTGGTTCTTCCACCCGCTAAATACAAAATCAGCACAGCTAAAATGTAGAATTCCCCCACACCTCCCAGCCAGATCAGTCTGCTCTTTCTATATACTGACCAGCTGCACAAAGACTTTCTGCAATACAGTGGAGGGGTGGGAATGAGTGATGGGAGGCAGATCTGCCTAGGGTAGTTCTGCTGTTGGACATCTGGTGGGAGTAGGGCTGCGGTTTGCTGCCTAATGTGTCTGAGGTTCCCAAACTCTAAGCCTTCCCTTCACAGCACTTGTTTGGTCTCTGAGTTGTAATTGCCTAACTTCTCATCATTGTGGTCGTTTGGTTGTTTTGTGGTTCTTTTTCCCAGAGAGTTGATAATTTCAAATAAATATTTTAAAATATAGTTTTACCTGATAAAATTGCTGGGACTCGTTAGCTTAAGAATATGATGCTGATACTTTTTTTGCTTTTCATGATTGCATAATAGTATTTGAGATTCAAGGTATTATTGCTAAATTATTCTCTTTGCTCCCCCTAACAGAATATATATATATAACAACTTGAGAAGTGGGCCCATGTGAACCTCATGAGGTTCAACAGGGCCACGTACAGGGTCCTGCCCCTGGGTCAGGGCAAACCCCAGTATCAACACAGGCTGGGGGATGAAGGGATGGAGAGCAGCCCTGCTGAGAAGGACTTGGGGGTACCGGGGGATGAAAAGCCGGGCATGAGCCGACCGTGTCCTGGGCTGCATCCCAAGCAGCGTGGGCAGCAGGTCGAGGGAGGGGATTCTGCCCCTCTGCTCCCATCGGGTGAGAGCCCACCTATGGTCCTGCGTCCAGCTCTGGGGTCCTCAGCACGGGACAGACGTGGACCTGTTGGAGCGGATCCGGAGGGGGGACACGAAAACCATCAGAGGGATGGAACACGTCAGCTACGAAGACAGGCTGAGAGAGTTGGGGTTGTTCAGCCTGGAGAAGAGAAGGCTCCGGGGAGACCTTACAGCAGCCCCCCAGTACCTAAAGGAGGCTTATAGAAAAGAAGGGAACAGGCTTTTTAGTAGTACGATGAGGCTGCTGAGTCACTGGCACAGGTTGCCCAGAGAAGCAGATGCCCCATCCCTGGAAACATTCAAGGTTGGACGGGGCTCTGAGCAACCTGATCGAGTTGAAGATATCCCTGTTCACTGCAGGGGGGTTGCACTAGATGACCTTTAAAGGTCCATTCCAACCCAACCCATTCTATGATTCTATATTGTCTACTATATTTAGCTCATACTGTATTCTGAACTGGTCAGGGTAAAGCATTTAAATTATATACACATACACAATTTATATAGAATTTTAAAATCTGCTTTTCTTGAAATCTGTCTTCTTTTCTTAGGTCCCCAAATACTTGTCACAACAGTGGAGTAAAGCTTCAGGAAGAGGTGAAGTGGGAAAACTACGGATTGCCAAGTAAGCCTTTACTGTACCTTTATTGGTTGCAGTTCTTAGAAGTTATCTGTAGTGAAATAGATTATGTTGCACCTCTTATAATACATAATCCTGTTTCTTGCAAACACTGTGCATATTTCTCCAATACCTGAATGGTACTTGCTTGTATAGTGATATGAATATAAATTATACAGAATTATACTGGGGAGTGGCTGTATCCCTTTACATGATGTTTGATTTCTTAAACTCAAGAAATATGCACATCTAACTGGAGAATGTTCTTTAACCTATATGTGCTATTTTGCTGCTTCTGTTCTCACCTGGTGGCTTTTCCCATTTATTCTTGGGCATCAGCGTAACAAAAAAATTTGAGCAGCTCAGGAGTGAAGATGAGTAACAAAACTAGAATTTGAATTTGCTTTTTTATGAGGAAAACTAAACTTGTGGAATTAGATTATGGAAACTAAAACATTATAAATATTTTCTTTTGCAGAAATCAAGGAAGAACAGAAGTAAGTAATTACTAAATACAAAGGCTGTGAATGTGTTATGTTTTGAATTCTAAAAATTATTTAGAACATGCTGGTTTCTAATGTCACATATTTTTTGTTACACTTGTAATGAAGCATTGTACCACAGAATCAGGAGGAGAGAATTCTGTTCGTAGCTCTGCCCATAGATTTACTGTGGGACTTCCATCAGGTCTCTTTGTTCCCTGAGTTTGTTTACCCATCTGTAAGCAGCAATCGTAGTAGCGATCTTCTCTCCAAACATTTTGAGATGTGTTAGCGCAAAAGGCTGTCTGAGAACTAAGGAAGGTGATGATAAAGCAAAAGAAGGTGGAGATGGAGGGTTGCAACTTCAGAATGTATTCTGTCTTATATTTGGAATTTGGTCCTACTAAATATAAAGCAACTTGAAGGTTTTTCTGCATGCAAAGGTAACTGCTTTTATTAGCAGCCTTAGTGAATGATAGTAACTTCCTATATCTTTTACAGGAGGTAAGGGAAGTTGTGTTAGTTAGAATTACTTCAACTACCACGTAGGTCTGTCACTGAATTGGAAGAAACTGTGGACAAAAAGATGGCAGGGAAGCAAGCTGCATTTGACATTTGATCACCTGGCCAAACTCCTTTTAGAATAAGTAAAGAGAGTTCTACTGGAGGTTTGGATGTTTGATTGGACTCTTCTAGGCTGGAATACGAGCCAACATTCCTAATTTTGTGAGCCCCACACCAAAATCTTGATATTGTTGAGAGCCACAAAGCTCATTTTGCAGTCCATGAGAACGGGTGGCTTCCCGGGGCCCCTGTTGCTGCATGGCAGAATGAGGCCAAGCAGGACCTACGGGAAAAGCATGCAGTGCCAGTCTTAAATATCCCTCTTCAGGTTTCTTGCTGTGTCCTGTGGCTAGGGATTTTGGTTACCCAGTCCGTCCAGTACCTCCTCAGCTCCTGTATTGGGCATGCAATGTAAACATAGCAAAGGAGCCATATTTGAACCTCTCCTGGGCTGCATGCAATTCAGGAGTCTCCGGACTAATAAACTTGTTGTAGTACATTAGCACTTTTTCCGGAACTCAGCTGGCTGTGTGAAACGTTTTAAAGCACTCATACAGAACAATGTCTGAAAACCTATTATGCCTTATGTTTTAATAAGTAAAATCAAATTGTTCTCTGACTTAGGGGGAAGTAATTTACAATTTTTTAAAAGATGAGTAGATTTTATTAAGTACATGAAAGCTTTGAATGCTGTATTTCAACAAGAGATCAATATAGTAAGACTCTTAGCCCACTCTTTATGTTTTGAAATGGAAATGTGCTATACTACTTGTGTTTTCTCTCTTTTTGTTTCCCCATAACTCATAAAGCTGTGTAATTGAGTCTGTTTAGTAACACTGTGGTAATTGTGACTGTTAGGTGTCATTTACTTTGAATGAAGAGCTTGCAAGCATCAATGATATTGGAGGAAAACCTGCTTCAGTCAGTGCACCAAGGGAACATCCATTTCTTTTGCAAAGTGTGGGAGGACAGACCTTAACAGTGTTCACAGAAAGTTCAGTAGGTAAGTTAGAATTAAAGTTATCTCTTACTATTCCAGTATACGTGATTTCAATAAACTGAATGCTGTAAAGACCAGAAGACTCAGAAGTCAGATTTTGGCGCTGTTTTGTTGTTATCTGCATACATAACGCCGTTGTACTTTTTCTGTGTCTGTCTCTTTCCTTCATACGATTGAGCAACTAATTTAAGTTCTCCTTATAGGGTTATCATGTACAATCCAGCTGTGGGTCTGCTGAAGAGAACAGAGAGAGCGTGGAGTGCAGTACATTGTGTATTCCCCTTTAGGGTTTTCACTGGAAAAAATGGTTTTTTGTGTTCCCATGTACTTTTGGGATCGACTAATATTATTTTTTTCTCCTTGAATAGGTCTCTGCTGTGAATATAGTTTTATAAGAATGCTGATTGTTCCTCTGTCCAGTTGAACAGATCTATTTTAGCAATAAATACTTCTGTTCCCTACATTTTCTTGAAGTATATATATGGTTTCATAGTGCATTAAAGCTTAATAAGGTCATAATACCAAACAGTGCAGTAGTAAGGTTATAATTTTTCTCACTGCATTTCAGCTGTTTGGCCTGCCTTAAGTTCAGCTCAGTAGCTGTATAAGCGATTAGGATATTCAAGATCATATGTCCTAAATTGCATGTTAGACTTAAGGGACATGGTAGTGTTACACTGTACAATAAATTCAGCAGACTGCCTTGCATGTAACTCCCATGTGCTGTAAGGTTTTCTACTGAAATTACATGGTCATGTTTTGGATATTAGAAAGAGAAGGAAGGTGTCTGCAGAGCATACTTCATTGTCTGCAGAAGGTATCTTAGTTTCAGGCACTTAGGTTTTGGTGTCCCCAGAAGACAAATAATAGTAATATTTTTTGATACCTCTGCCGCCTTTGGGGCAGAAAACTACAGTGGTCACACCAGCTTCTGATTTTTTGATGCTCGTTGGCGAGTAATTGCTGTGATGGCAGTGTGATGCTTTATCAAATAAATGAGGGAGGGAGAATCGTAACTCACGGGACAGAGTTAGAATACTTAGTAAGTTTGAGCACCTCCTTTTTAAAATCTATTTCAAAGATTTAATGGCTGAGCATTGAGATACTAAGGTACAAGTAGCTTGGCTGTCTCAGTTATGTTTAGAAATACAAGCTCTTATGCTACAACTCAGGCACTTTTCATTTGTTATCCCGTTCCCTGAGACTAATGTAATTGTGTTATTGGTTTTTCACTTAAAAAAAATAAATCTGTATTTTCATGTGTGTGACTTGCAACACTTTAAAAATACTGGGGTTTATAATTCATAGATTACAAATGTGGAAAGAGATAGGGAGCAAGTTTTCAAGAGCATTGCAAGCATTGTAGTAGTACCTCATCCTTTTTTGTATCTCTGTGCCCCAACCTCAGAATGCTTGATAAAAGAGAGACATTTCGGGTGTGAAGATGTGTTTAGAGTACACGTTCAGTGACTTTTGCATGTTTGCTGCAAATTCCATGGGATTTTGCTTCCCAAGACAAAATTTGATACGAAATATTGCTTCAGAAATCTCTAACAGTAACTTAAGCTGCAGTGAGTGCAGATGCTTAACTTGAATGTGGAGTACTTGTCATCAGTTAGAATGAAAGTCATTAGAATGTGGTAGCTAGAAGATGCCCATTTATTTCTGTTTTACCATCTGTAATACCAGTGTCTTGAAACCTTTAGGTACTTAGAACCTGTCCAATTTTTATTGAATAGATTAAAAATTTTGCATTTCTCAGCAACTAGAAAATGTTATTCAAAGACCATGGATCTATTGAGTAGAAATTATTATACTAATTAGGAGTAAAGGGTAGTTAGTGAAATGAGAAATGTTTGGACTGAAGCACTGAATAAGCATAGACCCTGTCAAAATTGTTTTTGCTTGAGATTAGCAAGCATAACATGCAGTCGGTGAGTTTTCATGAAACTCGCTTAAATGCAAAATGGCTAAAATGTGTTGCTGTTGTGTTAAAGCTGGCGTTGGCAGTACAATCAAAAATAAACTTTCATGTGCTTTTCTTGCATGACTTTTTTCAGTTGTAAAGACGAATGTGACACAAATATTCCAAATTCCAGTCAACATTTCTTACAGACACCATGTTCCTGCAGCCACACTCTTGTGTTTAAATGTGTATTGCCAATATGTTTTGAGCTCCACGGCCAATTTCAACAAATTTCCTAGTGAATTATGGCTAGTGTAAAAACAGGTGTCTGAAGAGTGGAATGAAACTATGGATATCCCAACTGAAAGAAAGGCTGCTACTCTATTTGATGCCAGAAAGTCCACATGGAAAAAACCACTGTAATTATATCATCCATGGAAAAAGACTCAATAAAAACTTACACATCTTTGCAGATCAGTCAATCCGCAGTAAGAGACAGTCATAGGAAATCGAAATTCATTCATTCATATGTTCACAGACCAGTATTTGTCTTCAAATTATAATTAGAATATTTTTGTGAAAAGCATTGGTGATGTTCCTTTCTCTTTTGCGAAGTGCACCATGTAACAGAAGCAGTATGCCAATTGGAACCGTAGGCCACTGGTATGGAACTGCAGATGGCATTGCTAGTGTTGCATCTGGAAGGATGCGTTTGAGGAATTATGCAAATGAAATATGGATAAAAAACGTGCTTCATGCACTATTGCTCTCAGTCAATACCCTTCTTGAGGACTGAACTTAACTAAATTGGATCAAATGGCATAAACCAGTTGGATATTTTTTGTAAAGGGTGGGGTTTTTTTGGTTCTGGGTTGGGTTTTTTTTTTCCCCCCCTTATTTTCCATTAAAAGCCCCAAGATCTATTTTGTGTGCTGCCTTCTAATACTGGGATCCTTATGTTGTAGTGACCATCTTTTTGATGGTCTTTCAGAAGATGAATGAGGGATGACAAAGCTGCCTCTGAAATATTTTGTAATCTTGGAAGATGCTGCAGGGAGTTTACATATTCTGGATAATTCAGCACTTCACATTGACTTGTCAGGTCACTTAGAGCAAGCAAAAGAGATCAAATTTGACAAGTAATTTAATATTTTGTGGATGATGTAATTTCTAGATTTCTGGATGTTTTTTCTGTGGGTTTTGTTTTGTTTTGTCTTAACTGAACTTGCTTCTAATACCTGTTGTAGTTGGAAGAAATCCTTTAGTTCTTGCATTGTAAACCTCCGCATCTCTGGTGGTCCTGTATTAGTTTAATGGACAGCAGTAGGCTTTTCTGAGGTGCCATTTGTTATGGCCAAAGTCTAACGAATTGCAGTTTCTTGGTCTTCTGCAGTGTGTGCACTAGATCTGAGCTAATATAAAGCTGGATAAAGTGGCTCCCATCCCAGATACTGTTAAAAAATCTGTTCTATGCTGGTTTTCACACAGGGTGCACTTTCTGTTAAGACTAACTCTGGGGTTTCTCCTGTTCCTTTTCTTTTCCGATTTCTGTATTTTGAAATAGCTGCAATGAATAATAGAGAGTAGTGCAATGCACTCCGAAAGTAGTAGCTGCAAAATATCTCCCTGCTTCCTTTGCAAGGCTGTTTGCACATGTGAGACGTGGTGTTGTCTTCATTGCTGGGCAAATCACTAAGACCTGCGGTGGTGTTCCTGAACATCAGTTTAGCAAAGCTGGCGGGAAGTGTGGCTTCTGTGATGACTGCAGAGGCATCCAAAGCACAGTTGTCTCTTGCTGTCTAGGTCTTGCTGTCTAGGCTGGTTTCAGTATTATTTCTGCATTAAATATGAACTACATTCTGTTCCATAAAGATCACCATATGTACATCAACAGTTGCTATGCAACAATGCTATTTGTGCTTCCAGTCATTTTATCTTGTCTTTGTCATCAGCTATCATAGCTGTAATTTTTTGGGCGGGAGGAAAGGAGAGCATTTTGCATATATTTCAATGTGTTGTATTGAACAAAATGAATTTTTCTTATCCGTGTATAGCTGAGAACTATCTAGGGGCAAGTCATGGGTTTGATATAGGGTGTGTTTGGTTAAAATTGTTTTTTTCTGAGCTTCCTACTGGCAGACACCCTGGCATAAGGAAATGATATAATTTGACGGTTTCTTTCTTGGTTGAAGGAATGGGAACATGCTTTTGTTAAACATTTAACAGCAAACTCTTCTGATTGTGATTATAAATTAATTTCCTTACTGCTTTAATTGCCTGTTGCTTCATTCTTCTGCCAGCAGGTAGTTTAGGATTGCTGGCTCTAAATAAAAAATGCAGCTATGTTATAGATAATGGTAAAAGTTTCTTACTCAGCTAGTTCTTGGAAAAATGTGCTACTAATGTGACTTGGGAAAACACAGACCTTGGCAGGCAATTGCATCCCTAACTGTAAAGGACTGATGGGTGGAGAGGAAGGTTTTACACTGTAGGCACAAATAAAGTATAAGATATTTCTGTAAAGTTGGGTGAGATGACTCATTTTATTGAAATTTTGAATATATCTTCACAACTCCCCCTTCATAAGTGGGATTGCCTTAATGCCTATTTTAGTGACTTTAAATTCCTTCATGCTTGTTCCATCTTACTGAAAGTAAAAAGTGTTTAGAGAATTCCATTGACAGAATGACTACCAGACCTTTGTTTCTGAGCAGCATTCATGCATGGATTGTTTTACTGCTTCATGCTTCACAGAAGGTTGCTGGCTCTTAACATTGCGTTCTTCTTCAGTTTTCTGAGTCTTCTCTTCTTTCAGAATCTCAATTAATGAAATTAATTTTTTTTTTGTATTCCTGTTCAATAATACACATAACTCTGCCTACATACTTTAGAAGAGCTCCTTTATTCACACACCCCTTGAATATTCTCCCCTTGTTTTGGGTTGTTTTTTTTTTTTCCTTTATACAGCTTCTCATATATGAAAGGACCTTTTCTGAGTTTGTACATGAATCACGCCTATATAACTTACAATGTGTGATTGTATTCCAGTGAAAATGAATATTCAGAGGTTTGTATTCTGTATTTTGTATATTTGTATTTTGAAATATCAGATATATCCAGCCATTTAAAGAAATGTGAAGGGAAGAAACACTAACAAAAATCCTGGAAAGATGTTTCTTTCTTTCATTAAAGCAGTTACTCCTATAATTACATTTAATTATTTCCAGTAAAATATGTAGTGCTCAGAATCTTGATGCCTTGTGACACTACTTCTAATCATATTAGATGAATGTTTGACTTTTCCAATTTTTCATCAAACTCTTATTTAGGAAATAAACTCCCTCCCTCATCATTCTGCCGTCTTAGCTCTGCCTGCTGAGGAGTTTTGACATATACCTGACTACTTTAACAGTACTTTCCAATTGTTCAGGCTGTCATTCAACCACACATTCCAGTCTCCAAAACGCTTTGGGGTCTTACTTAATGCCTCTTTGTTCCTTTATGTACTTCAGTCTTTTATGGACTGTTAGCAGAAGAGGAAAACCTATCAGCAGCCTCACGATCAAAAGAAATAGAAGCAATAGCAGCCTTTCAGATCTCTGGCATTTATGCAAATTTCCAAATATTTGTGAGGATCATAAAGAAGATGCAACCCATCATCAGAAAAGCAGAATATGTGACTCAAGCTACTCTAATTACAGACAGCATTTTGATGGGTCAAGATTTTGTATATATTATGGTGACACACAGTCCATTTAGAAAACAACTGCGACTGCTTACATCATCTCTCTTCTCCATCTCTAAAAAATGGGAATTATATTTATTTACTTAGTTGATATGAACGTTGTGAGGATTAACAAATTACTGTAAAGTGGGTTCAGCTGGCTGGCAGGGGTAAGCTCCTAATTTTCTTTTCATTTTTGTTATTGATACTATAGACTGTTAATTCCCATACCATTTTAAACAATCAAGGATATAATGCACAAAATATATAGTATATTAGAATGGGCTCAGTGTGATGGGAATAGAACTGGCTCTCTGCCTACTTCATTGACTTAAATTTTCTTTGTTTTTTTCAGTCTCACTGATGTATGTGTAAAAAACCAACCCCACCCAACCTCCCTGCCAAAAAAACCCCCAACAAAAAAACAACAACAAAAACCCAACCAACCAACCCCAACCTGTTGACATTTATCTGTGAATCTCACATGTTGTGGAGGAGGCTGAGCAGCTGTAGTCTGCATTGGTAAAATATTTTGAGTAGACATAGTACAACTTCTTTTTCCTTCTTGATATTAGTACTGAGAAGAATTTCAAAGCAGAGACTTGTGACCTAATCATGACAAATGCAAATTTTCTAATGATGAGAAAAAAGACCACTACTTTTTGCAGGGCTTGAATTTTGTCTCTTTTTCTGTCTTTGTTGTTGATACATACAAGCAAATACACACACACTCCCCCTGTAGACATGATACATATTTATCGTTATTTGAATCAGAGATGCTATTAACAATTTTGAAGTGTGATGTCTTATGCGGTAGTTTGGGCTAGGTAGCTAGTCTTTCGCTGAAACGGAGTTAAAAAGAAACAGCTTTAAATCCAGCTGCTTCTTACATCTCAGTCCAGGCAGGCATTGATATCTTGCTATGTTTGCACATTCTTCATTACGTCCTCTTTGCTTCTTGTGTGTGCACTGAATGTTTCCATAATTAAGTTACAACTGAATTAGGGTATTGGTTGGGTGATAACATTATGCTGTAAATATGCTAAATACAGACAAAGAATAATGTCGATGAGAAGATACATGTTTTTCTGCAAACACGCTGTCCTGCATGTATATCTGAAAGTTGGCAGGGGTCTTAACTTGCTTTGTGAATACTCATGGGTGGGAAGAGGCCATGTAACGATGTTTTCTCATTAGAGAAAGCATGTGCCTTCAGCTTCAAAGACTAACAACAGCCACCGGTGAAGAAAGAAGGGTCTGTGAGATAGTGTTTTTCCCATTTGCATTAGTCCTCCAGCTGTCAGCCATCTCAATGAGAAAACAGGGCCATCAGCCATGAAAGCCAGCAAGAATCAGTGGCAAAAAAAGGTTTTGTAAGATATTTCATGTTTTCATTTCTGTTAATACCCAGCCTGTAAGTGGCAGAAATGATCAAACTAACTGGACTCAAAAATTATTCTCCGAGTTAGAGCAGTAATTTACTCTTGCCTGTAAGTAAATGGTCTGTAATGATAGCTGTGACATGTCTGAGTTGAAAGCTAAGGACAAGTGTATTTTACCATTTTAAACTGTATTTCAGATAAGTGAAAATGTTCTTTTTATTCTCTACCTTAGAAGAAGTGTAAAAAGGAGAAATATAGGAGGAGCGGTCAAATTTCAGGTTGACAAATGTGTGTAGGGGTTTAATTTCATGGGACTTGGTAAGTGTTAGAACTCAGTTTACCAAAATACATCCGCCGGCTGCCATTTCTTGAAACGTGGGATTGGAATTTCATGCAGAAAGCTGTTTCTGAATCTGACTCTAACATTCACCCGAGTGATAATTTTTTGGCAAGTCACTTTGCAACACTTGTGTCTAGGTTTTTCCTTCGTACATCGATTCTCTGCTCTGTGGACCAGGAGTCGTTTATGATTATGTGTATTTTTTGTACCTAACAAGTTGGACTATAGTACCATTTGAGGGCCAATGCTCAGACGGGGAAAAGTTGAAGAAATAAATTCTTGCGTGATCTGTAGAAATGGTAGAGAAGAGGTTGATCAAGTTAAAAAATTTACCTAATGCTAGTTAAGAGCATTCTTTTGCAGAACCTTGATTGTATTTTTTTTTAATATACAAAGATAACATTTATTTGTCTAGAGTGACCAGTGAGGTAGATGGATACTATTCATTGCTTAAGCATAATCCTACTACTGATTTTGTATAAATGTGTAACTTCATTCTTGCAGAGCTGTATCAGAGGTGTAATGGAGTTCTCTCATTTAAGTTGTGAGTTTGGGCACTAAAGGAGAATTTGTTGTTGTTGTTGTTGCTCCCAGTGGCAAATTATTCTTCAGAAAGTAAATTTATAGACATTAATCAAACCCAGTGATTATGATTTTTATCATTCTGTGCTTTACAACCCACTCTTTAGATGTAATTTCAAATAATCAACACAGAAACATTACGTTTCCTTTTTTGTTCGTTTGTTTTTTTTTCCAGAAAGCCAACCAGAAGAAAAATCTGAAAGCAGCAGTGCTGGTGAGTATGGACACTTTCTTTGGAACACTTAAGAAATTACTTATGACTGCAGCTTTTCAGTTTTCTTTTCAAAAATTGTAGATTAAAAAAAAAAGTCTTTTTTTGTTGTATTTCTAGGGTAGAATATAATAAAGTTTAAAAATTACTTCATAAACTGATTATCTGCTGCGACCAAAAGCTTAAATTATTATCATTTTTTATTAAAATGAAGGGGAATAAAATGATGAGGGAGAGCTTTAGAATTGTGATGTTATTTTAGAAATTCTTTTTTATTTCTCAGGGGTTTTTTGGGGGGTTTTTTAGGTTCATTGTCTGTATTTTTTAATTAGAATTCTTTCCTCTTTTGATTGGAAAGTTTGTAGCAAATTTCCAAATCTTTTGTTACTTGATTTTAATTGCATAGACTAAGCAGTCAGAAAAATAGTGTTGTAGTATTGTACTTTATTCAGTTTTCTAATGAAAGCAAATTTCTTATGAAATATTTATAAATTCTTTGGAAAGAGTCAAAAATGGTTAGTTCGCTGATATTACCTGCCAGTTACATATTAGTCAGTCCAACGACATCTTAAGTACAGTTAAAAATTCTAAGGGTGCTTCTCAAACTGCAATGGCTATACTAAAAGTGGGTTTTTTACACAGTTCAGAGTAGTAAATAAAAGTATTGCCCTTCGATTAGTATTTTTTTGTGAAATGGGCAACATGCTTATATCGGGCAGGATATTTCCCAGCAGCTCGAGCAGAGCTCTCTTGAGGCGGTGTGTTCCCAGCCTGCTCCCTTTTCTTCTACTAAATCCTTTGGGCTTACATTACTGAAATTCCGAGATAGGTACACAACAGCATGAGAAGTTAAAGTGTCAAGTAGTGTTTAATAAAATTCCCCTTTTCTGCTTTTATTAAAGAAGTGTTTCAAAAATATCATTAACATACTAGCGCAAATAAGTGCCAATGTTAGCAAGAACCTGTGAACCTGGGAAACTAGACACAGCTAATACAAAATATATAGACAAATCTCGGTTTTGTTAGTAGAAGGATTACCTCTGATGCACACAGATTAAATAGTACTAGGACTGGGCTGGCACTGGTAAGTGGTAATGGCAGAGATAGCAGATGGACTGGAAAGAGCCTCACGCCCCTGCCTTTCTTAAAAAGTAATTCCTAAGACTAATGCTAGTGGGTTTTCAAAATGTCTTCTTGAAAGTAATTTTTTGGACACTTTAACATGAAGATGTCTTGTTTTTTCTAATATTGGACTTTTGTTTGAATTGCATTTCAGCATCAAATGTTGTCAACAGTGTATACTTTGTGTCTGGCTAGGAGTAGGGTTTGGGGTTTTTTTTTGTAGGAGGGAATTCTTTGTAATATTAAGATGCTTTTTATTACACTGGCTTAAGCATGTCAAAAGACTAGTGTTAGAAATGTTATACACTGTAGACTTGTACTGAATCCAAGGTGTGTTTTATAGCTTGCAGTTTTTCTCTGTTATTTGTTAAAACCTGCTCACTGATGATATGTTTATTGTGGTGTGGTTTTTGAGATTAGTATTTTATACCACTTGAAAACTGAGACTCACTGCTGTGGGATGTCGCATGTAAAGCAGATCTTGGGAGTTTAACTGCTAAAATGAATCAGAATTTTGATACATTGCATTTCTCTGATGTTCTTTAGTTGTAGGGGTGTACCCTTATTTTCCTTGGCTTTTGGGTTTTTTATTCTGTTTCAGTTTGTGTTTGAATGATTGGATTGTCTGCTTTTCATTCTTGGTGTCTCCTCCTTGTTCTGAAAATATTGTGTAAGATGGCCACGTGTTTAGTTGTTTGTATTTTGCTTTGGTCAGAAGAATGAACTACTGTATGCTGTGGGCTGTTCAAATATGCTGACAAGATGAGTGCTAAACCCATTCGATGGAATCAAGCTGGTTGTGGATTCAGTTTCTGAGCGATGGTAGTTGCTTACACTGGGGTCCTTAAAGGAGGACTCTCAGCCATCAGTTGCACTTATTTGCTTATTCACTTTTTTTCTCGAAATCATTGTGGAACTCAGATGACCTTTTCCAAACTACCTCTCAAGTAATTCAGGTTATCGAGTGCTCCATTTTGCCGTTAATCTACTTTATCTTGGCCTACAATAAGTACTTTTGAGCGAAAGATGATGTCTATTATGTATTTATGTCGCATGTTAGCATAACAAGACCCTAATGACTGCTTTTGGGTATTACTGTAATAAAAATACGTAAGGTTTATTTGTAGTTAGAAAGTAAATAAAGGAGGTAAATGAGATAAATAACATTCAAAAATCCTTTGATTTACATCCTTAAAAAGTTCCCCCGTGTTTTTACATTGGGAGGGTACTGTCAATCCAGAATTTCTTATGTCATAAATCATTAGTATTATGTATGACATTTTTAATCACATTTATTGTTGGGATGGTTGTAAACTACTTACCAAAAGGCGAGCTAGTACCAGCGTTGCTGCTCTACTTGATACTGTTTGGAGAAAGACAACGTGATACTGAGTCAGACCAAAGATCATCTAGCTGGTATCCTGTCCTAAGTGGTAGTCAATAGCAGATGCCTTGAGAAGAGGATAAGAACAACGCAGAAGCATAGTGATACCTCCCCAAAATACTTCTTCCAGCCTTTAATGATTCACAGCTCAAGAGACCTAGAGCTGGGGTGATGGTGTTTTAACAGGCCCTCATGGATTTTCCTTCTATGAAGTATCCTTGTTGGCTGAGCCCATGCAAAACTTCAGTATCCGTAGTTATCTTGAATGATGCTATGGTTATAGTCAAAATATTCAGGAATCAAGACATACCTGAAACAAGTTTACCTAATCTTAATTTGAGCTCCTTTTGCATATTATCATTTTAGATCACTTTTTCTGTACAGAAATCGTATTTGATTAGTGCTTGTGATAAATACTGCTTGGTGATTCAACCAGTGTTGTTTAGTGCCGGAAGGCTTTGTGTTAAATGTGAGTGTAGCAGATTGCACACTCAGCTAAAGCAAAAGAGAAATGAGAATTGGCTTTGCTTGTTCCTATATGGTGATGAGCAAGTGATTTAAACTCAAATATGTGTACGTAGCTCCTGTTTGCTGATGGCTTTGCTTGTACCTGCCTGTAAGTGCTGTCGGTGATGACAGAAGCTGTGAAAACCAAGCATTTGTGCCATTTGAAGTGTGACCTGCTCCCGACCTCCCCCCCTGCCCCAATAAAAATACCCAGAAGCTGCACCCTGAGCCTGTGTAGTCCTTTGAGAATGATATGGTAAAGAAATGCATTCTCATGTAAGAGCAAATGTAATTTGGTACTGTCTTTGTGGAAGTGAGTTAAATGAAAGTCGCATGGGCAGCGATTGATTATAATGTTGCCTAAGCTTTGAGAATGTAGTTTTGAAAGCATAGTATTGCTTTCGGGGGGGTGGGTGGATATATCAACTCTGTATACAAACTGCAGATGCACCTTTTTCTTCAAGAATGTGTACATCAGGGAGTGTTATGTGCAACCTACTGGTTGAAATTCCTGAACCTTCTTCAAGCCAATTGAAATCCTGTTGTACCTAAATTTCATCTCTTAAAGTCTTTGATGTAAGTTTATAGCAAATAGCAGCCTTCAGTACTTGATGTGCTTAAGGACAAGGTGTTAGTCATCTCTTTTCCCTAAACCTGCCAGTGAGTAGTAAAAGTGCCTTCTAAGTGAAGGGAAAGGCACCATTGGCACCATTTCTGATTTGACTCTGGTTAAAAGGAGTAAATTATCTGAACTGCTACAGACAATATTGTGTGAACATAGTATTAAAATTTTGCCAGTCGTGAATGTACGTGTTTAACTGCAGTCACAACTATAGAACACTTGAATTGTCTGTAGATCACATTTGCTTAGTTTTTTGATGTTGCAATAAAAAAAAGTCAGGTGTTGATTATACATGTGTCGGAATATTTGAAATTCAGTGTAAGCACTTTGATAAACACTGAACTGCATGTGGTAAAATCAGCAATTTTTTGTTAAAAAAACCTGTTGTGGCACAGGGCTGTATAAAGCTGTTAAATGCACATTTGATTTAATCCTCTTTAAAGCTGTTAGCATATATTAATTATACTTCAAAGTGAAACTCTAACTGAAAAATGATCATCAGGAGGAGTAAAACTAATTCTTAATTTAAATGCTAGCTCAAAACTCACTGTTGAATATAACTTGGTTATGGAATCTGCCGTTTTCAAGCCACAGAAACAGTTTTTGTCTTGGCAATGTAACTGGTTTTGTTGGCAGATGAATGCAATAAAACTTTTATAAGCTTCCCAGTAGTTTTCCAGGAGCCATAATCAGTAATGAGACTCCATTTGTAGCTGTTAAAACACACAAAGAAGCAACAATTCCTGCTTTAAGGTATGTGTAGTCAACATCTGTCATACTAGTTGTAATAAATATTGTGGAGAAATAGGGAAGGTAGACTGGTAGAACAGCAAAAAGGGTGTGGAGTTAATGTAGGTCGACACAAACCTGAGTTACATTTTTTAAGAACTTGCATAAATGGCCTTAGTGTCCTTAGGGTCTGGCTATTTATTTTAGTATTCTGTATGAATATTGTAACATTTATGTTTGCCTGAGCAGCACTGATGTATTCATTGTCATTCAGTCTCTATCCTGAGAACAGAACCTGATATAAAATGGTGGGAGTTAATCCCACAAGCCTATTCTGTCCTTCAACGATGTCCACATCCAGCGAAGTATTGCACTAAGCAGAAGCGTGCTTTTGGCTCGTATCGGAGTTCTTGGTCTTCCCTTCTGACTCTTGAGAAATCCCAGGAATTTCAGCCATGCCTGGCATCGCAGATTGTGACTCCACAAATTGTGTTTGTCTTCTGTGAGGGATTTTGCTGATTATTGCAGTTCACCCACCTACCAGCAGGATCACGACCTTTGCAGTATTGCAAATTAGAGCCTTGAACGATGGATCAAAGGGGCAGAGGGAGATGGAATGCTTGCTGCCTTGGCTAGTAG